TCTAGGGCGAGATCTATACGTTCTTATACCGTTCTCTGACCGTCTAGGGCGAGATCTATACATTCTTATACCGTTCTCTGATCGTCTAGGGCGAGATCTATACGTTCTTATACTGTTCTCTGACTGTCTAGGGCGAGATCGTCTGAGAGACATTCACAGACAGATTCAGTCGGACTCAGAATCACGACCAGGCAACATCTGTCCTAGACGGGGCCCCCTGACAGGCCCGACTCATTGGACCGCCAGCCAACTTTACAGGGGGTGGGCCGGGAAAAAGCAAGATGTCAAGAGATGTTTATGCTGGTCTCTTCCCCCCCCCCTCCCCTCCCTCCCCCCTCCAGGCAGTGCCTCTGACTGAAGTGTCTTTAGGCCATTCCCAAAGGGGGGACATTAACATGTTCTTATACACAGTAGAATTGTAAATGGGCTGATTTATCAATGTCATGCTCATACTGTGCCGGAACAACTTAGGGGAAACTGCTGCTTTTTCTTTCCTCATCCTTACTATCGTCATTTTTCCTCTACTTCTTTTGTAGGCTTGTCTCTTGTGACCCGCTATTTCCGGGGTGCCTTGATGGTTGAAGCAGACTTTGTGCTGTTGAGGCGAGAGAGGTGAGCAGAGTAAGTCTGATTCCCTGTAAAGACTTCTCTGTTGACATCCACCCCTTGGCGCTCATATGACCTTATGCAGTTGTGAGCGCCGTAAAACCTTACTAAAACTACCCTCCCCTAGTGCAGACTCCGTGGTCAACGTCGCCAGAATAACGAACGACACATTCCACAAGCCCAGGGAAATAACTGATCACATGACACATACGTGACCAGCTGTACTATTCACTACGTCTGTCCATCTATTCTGTACGGTTTCTTCATCTGAGGTTCTGGAGGCGTGTGCTCCACACACATTTTGTCCCAACTCGCGTCATTCTAAACGGGGAAACAAGAAAGTTCAAAGAAAACAGCAGTGTGAGCGAGCAGTTGCCGTGGGAAGAAGTAGACGGTGCAGACCTGCAGTTAGCAGATGATCCCGGCGTTGGAGAGCATCATTAAATAGATGGATAGATGAGTAAATAGATGGATAGATGAGTAAATAGATGGATAGATGAGTGAATAGATGGATAGATGAGTGAATAGATGGATAGATGAGTGAATAGATGGATAGATGAATCAATAGATGGATAGATGAATCAATAGATGGATGGATGAATCAATAGATGGACAGATGAATCAATAGATGGATAGATGAGTAAATAGATGGATAGATGAATCAATAGATGGATAGGTGAATCAATAGATGGATGGATGAATCAATAGATGGACAGATCAAAGAAGTAGACGGAGCAGACCTGCAGGTAGCAGATGATCCCGGCATTGGAGAGTTCGGCCCCGCCCCATGAGATGAGTTTGACCCCTCGGCGTGGCTTCCACAAGTGCAGCGCGTGGACTCGCTGGAAGCTGGCAGCTAACTGGGTCAGCACGGAGGTGGACGCGGTGGTGTCACGGGGCTGATCGGGGAGCGAGGCGCGCGGGGAGCCCACCAGCACGTAGCGATCTGGGGGAACAGTGGGACAATCATTAGGACAATCATTGAGACAATCATTGAGACAATCAGGAAACAATCAATTAAACAATTATTGAAACAATCAATTAAACAATCAGTGAAACAATCAGAGAAACAATCACTGAAACAATCATTAAAACAATCGGTGTGGAGTTTGTTGGTATCATGTGAAAACTGATTTATTTGCCTTGCTCTGTTATTGAGGAATCAATATTTTTCATTGCTAGATCTAGATTAGAATTTAGATCTAGATCTAAATTGTCCAAATATTTTCTTCTCCACAAAATCACCATTTTTTGGTAAATTACACAAAAGTACCACTTAAATCATGCGTAGGTTTATTCCAAAGGCAATTCTGAATAATTTCATGTAAGATACGAGTGTTTGTTTCTGTTTGTGAATGTATCTTTGCTCCGTTTTCAAAATTACAAAAAAAGTTGTTGTTTTTTCCAGTAATGGGTGTTATGATCCAAATGTACAATTGTGTGGAATGTATGTACATAACTGCACATTTTCCAATATTTTCCAGTTCTATATTCTTTTACGAAGTGACTATACCCAGTGACAACAGAACTCTTTTGCATAAAAAGTCAGAAGTCTTCGGCATTGTAGACTTTCTTCTCCCTTCAGTTCAGTACTTTTGGTCTCTTCTCTTACTTAGGGCTTAGACTGGACTGTAGAATAGATCTACATCTAGATTAGATCTAGAAGAAAGAAGAATCGGGAAGGATTTCTACCTGTCCTGTACCGTGGTCTCCAAAATCCGTATATGTAGATCTAGATCTAGATGTACATTAAAATTACGACTGAATAACAAGCAAACATAGAATATTCATTCCTTTTTCTTTAAAAACAATTCTTCCACTCACACCAGAATCTACTTAAGTTAGATACAGTCCAGTATTTAATAACCCATCACCGTCATGCCCATGTAGATCAGTGTGGGAACAATAGATCTAATGGGCCTGTCTGTTCTCAGGGTCACAGGGAATAGTTTCTGGGACTATCCCCAGAGTCACTGGGAATATAATAGTGCTTTCCATTCATTTAAGGTTATTTTGTTGTATCATTTGACTAGGTGCAAATATATTTTTTGAGTTTCACAAAAGATTGTTAATTTTTAATTTTCTAATTTTATCCACATCCAATCAAAACTGTGTTGCATAATCGCTTCTTACAGGAACGTGAGTTGAAAAATACACAAATAAACATTACAGATATATTCTACAATCCATACAGATAAATTTGGTATATAATATGTTGAGATTTATTTGAGTTTGTGGCCCCTAAGACCTGTGAACAGCGCACTAGTCATCATCTCATTTCGCCCTCCCGAAAAAAATTCGTCTACAAGCCAAAAATAATATGTAGCGAATGAGTTAAAAAACACATTTCTGAGTGGATTTTGCTGAGAAACGTTAATTAAATGCATAAAAGATTTAAATTTTCAGTTTCCACGGACTCTCAAGCTCAGGAAATAACACAGCTTTGGCGGCCATTTTAACTCGCTAATTTTACCTCTGAAACCAGGTCACCCTGGCCTTCTTCAATCGCCAATATCTTGACTTACACTAAAGATAAATTGATATTTTTTCCATCAAAACAAAGACAAACGAACAAGCTTTAAGATGATACCAATTACTCCATATGCCCACAACTAGACAAGTGCCTGATTCTACCACGTCGAGACACAAATGTAAGTGAGTACCCCACCTCCCCCCAGCCAGCTTATAGAAGCTCCAAACTTGACAATTGTCGCACACAGCTGGTAATGACTAAACATTGCCCAACACTTTCAGTTTTACTCTCTCTCTCTCTCTCTCTCTCTCTCTCTCTCTCTCTCTCTCTCT